GGGGGGGGAGTTGGTAGGTTCGAAGGACGTTTTGAAGGCTTTTGGCGTTGTTGCTAGCTATTGTTTATTGGTGTGTTAGTCAGATAGAATGAGCCTGGGTTGTCATTAGTTCAACACGTAATGATACCAGACACTTAAACACACTTAAACTCTTGGGCTTTTCGTGAACGATCTTCAAATCTTCGGGGTCTTGCGCGTGATAAATGACTCCCAGCGCTGTGATAACTTCGTTGATGGATATTGTCATAAGATCAAGGCAATGTTGCGGATGCCCTGATAACGGAACCATCTCCGATTCAGTAGGATGTTTGTTGGGCGACTACGTTGGTCCGTCTGCCAAAGCATACTGATCTAAGTTCAGTACACAGCGTTCAGAGGTTGTCACAACACCAGACCTTGGGTTCCAGCGTTGCTGAAAGAGTTGTAAAGGTTTGCGTCTATGTCGGTGTTGACGCACGGAACTACCTTCTCCCCTTGCATCCATCATGGTACTTTCTCGTGTCTTTATTAAATTCTGACCGCTCACATAGCTTAAACCCTAACAACAACTTGTTTGTTACCATTGAAGCGGCTCCGAGAACGAAAGCTAGTTCTGAATGACCGTAGGTGAGTATGCCAGAGATCGAGTTCGATTTTGCAGCTGCAAGAGCTGACGCTTTCCACACCCTCTTGTTCGAGTCTGCAGCTGTGGATTTGCTTCTTACGCTCAGACTGCATGAAACGCAGCACCGATGCCAAGATTCCGTATCGCAGTTCATCTCTTATCACCACTCCGACTTGAGATCCGAAAGTTTCGGGGTTGGGTAAGCATTTCGTGGCATCGTCCCCATTGCCCCAAAGGCGTAACTCCAGGCCGCTGCACCTGGGCCCCAACAAACGCCACACTTCCATCCCCATGGACTCGGCAACAAGTAGCCGCCAAACGAAAGACCTGTAGTGCGCATTACAATCGGACAAGACTCGCGCCAGCCTCTGAGATCAGGTCATTGAAAGGGCCGAACAGTTCGGTGATGTAGCGCAATCATCGGACGGACGCCCCGGGACCACCTACGTCATGGACTCTTCGAGCAGAGCCGCATCCGCATTGGGGTCAGGAACAACGTCTTTTGCTCCACACAAGCGGCGCCTGGCACATGGAAATCCATATCATTCCGACACGTTCCAGACGCACGTCTCACTATTGCGGGCATTTCGGCTGTCCTGCAACAGCGGTGGGATGATTGGCCGATGCCGCCCGAGGCGTCCTCTGGGTTTCGCAGCTCAATATTTCTTTTACAATGTGCAGGTATAGGCTGCATGCTGTGCCGACAAAGCGTAATCGCGACGATATAGCCTACATTAATCAGCTGCATCACAGCTGACAACACCGCGAAGATGCAGCATGAGGAAGCGAATATACCGGAATCGGCAGATCTCGAAATTGTCATGCTGGAGATGCGACCCACAAAACCACGTTTTCTAGTGGCGGTCGACGCACCCAATGTGTAAGGCACGGCGATATCCAGACCCTGGACCCAAAGACCCTGTGCATTATCAATACGCGACGTCATGGGGGAGAAGTTTTCGAACGTAGCTCCAGCGACATTCATGGCACATGTAAGAATGAGCTGTAGGTTGGCTCTAATCATATATAACAGCAAGTCGCGGTAGTCTTTGTGAACATATCAATCAACTTCACATCAACTTTCATCTCTTTTGCAACAAGATACCCAAAAGTTTTTCCATTCCATCACTTTTCGACCTATACCACATCACAACACACCACCAAGATGCCTTCTTTCACCGTCTACAAGGGCTCCAAGGAGAGCAAGATTGTCAAGTCGCAAACCACCAAGCCCGACCTCGAGAACGACCAGGTTCTCATCAAAGTAACTGCCTCCGGTCTCTGCGGAACCGATGAACACTACAAGGGAGCCGACATGGCCCTCGGCCACGAGGGTGTCGGTGTTGTCGAGGAGCTTGGACCCAACGTGCAGGACCTGAAGAAGGGCGACCGTGTCGGGTGGGGATACGAGCACAACTCCTGCGGCCGCTGCGACAAGTGCCTCACAGGCCAGGAAACCTACTGCAGCGAGCGCCAAATGTACGGCATGGCCAACCTCGACCAGGGCAGCTTTGCTTCCCACTCCGTTCAGCGCGAGGCCTTCGTCTTCAAGGTTCCCGATGAGCTCACCGACGCCGAAGCCGCACCCCTGATGTGCGGTGGAGCCACCGTCTTCAACGCCCTGCACACCTACAACGTCAAGCCCACCGACCGCGTCGGTGTCATGGGTGTTGGCGGTCTCGGCCACTTGGCCATCCAGTACGCCGCCAAGATGGGCTGCGATGTCGTCGTCTTCTCCGGATCCGAGAGCAAGAAGGACGAGGCCATGAAGCTCGGCGCAAAGGAGTTCATTGCCATGAAGGGCAAGTCCGAGATCAGCGTCAGCCGCCCTGTTGACGCTCTCCTCGTCACCACTTCTGTCATGCCCGACTGGAAGCTTATGCTCCCTGTTCTCAACAACAACGCCATCATCTTCCCCATGACCGTTTCCGATGACGACTTTGCTATCAACCACATGGCTCTTATCGCCAAGGGCATCACTGTTCAGGGCTCTGTTGTTGCTGCCCGCGCTGTTCACCGTAGCATGTTGGCTTTCTCCGCGCTACATGGTATCAAGCCTATCACCATGGAGTTCCCGCTCACCGAGAGTGGTATTGAGGAGGCGATGGCCACTCTCCGGGATGGAAAGATGAGGTACCGTGGTGTACTCAAGCCCCAGTAGATGGATGGCTTTGTATGGAAAGATGGTAATGGAAAGGTTAATGAGCGGTGTATGACTAGTAGATACCGATGATAGACTTACGAATCTCATTTGTTTGAACATATACCACATTCTGTCTTAGGTGATGACTTCTTTGTGGACACTGAATATCCATTGTCTGCACATGAGCGCGGTGATTTCCCCTAACGGAGTACATGTATCTCCGCCTCCAAGAATCCGAAATGTATAGAAAGACCCTCTCGGCCTTCTATCCAGCCCCGTGCAGTTCTGGCTGTGTGTATCGAACCCCCCAGCGCAAAACATCCATTTATGCTGGAAACAAGCGGATAAGCACCGGTAGAATATCCCTCGGCTCCATCGTCTGCAAAGCCGCAATAGCAGACCTCACATCCGTGACCAGTGTTCCTTCGACCTCAGTTGCACCAGTCTTGGCCCCCTTTCCATCCTGCCCCCTAGCCTCATTGGTCTGCGGTACGTACGGAGCCAGAAGCGCCTGCAACAGTCTATTACCACTATCGTCTTCGCCTTCGCCTTCTACCCGCTCAGGCAACACCAAGTTTGCCATATCGACATTCCCACCCTCGCTCTTCCCCTCCTCAGCACGCACACCCATCTCCCTCTTCCCAGGCACCACCCCACCAACAAACTTGCCAACCTTCCTCTCGTACCGCTCCCTACCCAACTGTGACTCTGCAACACGCAACTCAGCCTCCCAGTCTTTGCTCAGCTTCTTCATAGCGTTCTTGAGCAGCTTCTTCTGCGCACCGCCAAACACGGTGAATAATTCCCATGGTCCGGTTTTCCATGTCAGGATGAAGGACTCTCGGGCGGCAAAGCTGGAGGTGGGTGTGTTGTGGTGTTCGATGACGGCGGCGAGGTATTGCTTTATGAAACGAATGGCAGCAGGAGGGATGGGTGCGTGTGTGGGAGTGGTAACCCGTCCGGGGCGGTAGGAGTCTATGGTTCCACGACGACGATCGAGTACTCCTGCTTCACTGTATGCAGAGTTACTCTGGTCGCTTGACTGCGAGTGTTGAGCTAACAGCGCAACGAAGATCGCGGTGTTCCACCTCATGGTGTCATGGAAGCGTTGGAAATGGTGCGTTTGGTCGAGTCGGTAGAACCAGATCGCTCGAGTGATTTCCATACTTTGTTTTTCTCCATCTTTGATGGGCTTGCTCGCGTAGCGGTCGATGGCGGCGCGGTTGTGGAGGAAAAACGGGAGTTGGATATCTGGTGGTATGTTGGCGATATCTAGCGCTCGTGGAGTTTGGTCGAGGATGTCCGCTAGTGTGACTGTGGGGAGGTGGTTAGGCGGTACGCCTTGAAGCTTGTTCTTTAGCAGTAGTTGAAGTTTGGCTTGGTTGTGATTGTCAGGGCCATCAGTCTTGTGCTCGAAGGCAGTGATAGCGTGCGACATCTTGGACTTGGATGCTTGATAGTACGAGAGGGCAATGTATCCAAAGTACGATTATTAAGAATAGTCGGTATTCAGCGCACGTGCGCAGATCCGTTTGCTCGCCGATGGGGAAAATAGGAAGTGAAGGGCGGGAGCTTGCATACCTTCAAACGCCTACACACCGCCGCGGACGGAGGAGCAAACAAACACTGGGTTTCCGTCTTCCCAACCCCGCAAGTAGAAGAAGATTGTCGACTAGAACATCCTTGATATGCTCTTCGAACTGCCAAGTCTCTCCTTGGTACTCTTTTCAGTGCGATTCTTTTCCAGTCTTGATCAGACGACGATTCGCAACGTTACAACTTACCCATGAGCAACTCATAGCAGTGACCCTAACGGCCGTGCATAACAGATACCCCAAGCTCCGGTATCACCATACTCATATCGAAAACACGTCTATCAGATTTATCACTCTCATTCACCATCAGCTTCATTGCCTCCAACGGGGACAACCAAAACCCAAAAGCGGGCAGTACATCCATGACATAGTCCCGCGCTTCGAACTTCGCCTTTTCAGCTCGCTTGAGCCATCCCAAAGGATCGGCAAACCAGCGTTCGTAGTCTTTCTTTAACGCAGCTTGCGCATCGTCTCGATCGTGAATATCGTCGTTTAAGATATCGTTCGCTAACATAAGTTGCACTTGTGTTGTAATTTCCGACGGCACAATAAAGAACCGCGAAAGTAGAGTCATAAATCGATGGTATGCATGTTTGGGATTGTTGAATGTGTAAACGCCTATGTAGTGGTACTTTAGGTCCTGCGATATGGGCCGTGGGTCTCTGGTGAGATGCTCAAATGCCGGAGTATGAGTGGCGATTGGGAACAAGCGGTTGAACCACATATCGAAAGATATGCAGCACGCATTGACTTCCAAGTTGATCCGCCCGACTTTCGAATGGAGTACCTGGATAAAAGATAGGGAATGGAGGATTTGCAGACATGTTGAGCTATAGACTCCTGAATGGGCAGTGTAGTGACGGGATATACAAGCACCTGCACAACGTCGAAAGTTGTCATCCCCAATATTTGTATAGAAAAGGCGGATGTGCTAGGCACGAGCTTTGCAAAAGCCGTGCCGCATGCGGGGCGTGATGCAAGCTTTTAGTCAGGTGCTGTTTAGCTAGTGGAAACCCCAGATTCGAGAGACGAGTTTTCGAAGGCGTTCATCGGTCGCAGTCAAGTCTTGAGACGAATTACAGACTTCAACACACGAATCGAAAAAGAGATGAGAAAGGAATTGACAAACCTTTGGTGCAGCCCGCTGCTAGTCATGTCAGGCAGCTTCATGTCACCTGGCGAAATAAGCTGGAGAAATGAGGTATCTTCTACGAGCATCCGCAATGTTGATGAGAGTTTCCGTCAAACAAGACATCACAAAGAACGTCAAGAAGATCGTTGATGCACGTTTGTTGATGTTGGTCAAACGTGCGGTTACGCGTTCGCGCCCACTTGTTGGTGGGGCAGCTCCACCGCTAGGCGCGCATAGGGAAGATGACGATCTTCAGGGTCAGTCCAGTGCGAAAGGTTAGAAGATGAGGCTGCGCAAAGTGTATCGATAGATGTGAGCGGGCCGGAAATCTCTGAGGTAGATGGGCAGATCGCGTGTTTCAGATGTGGGTGAGACGTTCGTTGATCGTTCGCAGACACGCGTTGCGCAGGTGGGCTCATGACGTCTGTCGCATGGCTTGAATGATGATCGTCCGGAGTGGTGGCTGGGTAAACACTTTCAGTCGATGGAGGGCCGATGTGGTGAGGTGGAAACAATGATATTTACACTGATGCCACGTGAGGACATTACGCAAGCTGCGGATGGAGATGCCGTAGTGACCAACGCCCAGAAACAGCAGGCAGACTACGCTGCAGTGTAGTCTTGTCCATCTCGATGTGGTGAAGATGGCGCCGCTTGCAGCGAGTCGACGGCTCATTGACCTCGCTGGCCAAGTGCGCCACAGTCAGATGCGGCATGATTGGCATGATTGGCTGGAGAGGCTGGGTGTGGTCTATTTGCGTGCAGCCATCCGCTGGTGCCGAGAGCACGGATGGGGTCGCTGGCCAGACAGTCCAGACTTGGTGTGCCGCAGGATTCCGGATGGCATAATATTGACATCCTTCAGGGAGCGGTAATGTGCAGCGGGCGGGGATGGGCTGCAAGAGCGAAATGTCGGTTTCGCGCGTATACGGCAATAAAATTAGAGGAAATACGAAGAGCTGGGCGGACCTGGCTGGCAGACTTTCAGTCAGCGCGAGAAGAGGCCTAGAGCGTCGTGTTGATTGGCCCGACGAGATTGTTCCTGCGTGCGAGTGTGGCGAAGCAAGTGCCCCTGCCCCCTCGCCCCTGCCTCATCCGAGTGTTCCAGCTTGGTCAAAGAAGAAGGCGCGCGTTCTGGAGCCTGCGAAGACAAAGGCGTCTGGCAGAGAAGCAAGTGTTGACGAACTCAAGAGCAGTAGAGCATAGCGCAGTCCGTAAATGCTCCGACTGTTCCTTGCGATCGCAAACTTGACAGCCGTTGGATGCTCTGAGGCTGGGCGCTGAGCAGGTGCCGCGCGTATTCATCTGGCCCACTCGCCGCGACCGTCGCAGTCTCGCTCCCCTGAAGCAGCCGGCACGCGGTGCATAGACCTCAGCTCCTGCGAGCTGGCATCCTCTTACCATCCGCCCCATCTCCTGCTCTCCTCAGGCACTTTCCAAACACCAGCGTTAGGTGACGACGAGAGCGCGCTGAATCGTTTTTATTGGGTTGCGTGCAAGTGCTGATCGCGCCCGTCCGGTCGTTTACACATATCCCCTTCCTTGTACTAGCCCTAGCGTCGCCCAGCCGCCGACAGACAGGCCTCTTCGCCTCGCTGCTTCCCGGTTTCCCTTCCCCAGTTGTCCTGCGCAACCACCTCTTTCGACATCACCGCCCATTCGTCGCTCTCGACTGCCACTCGCTCACCCGCACCTTCACCTTCACCCACCCCGTCTATTCACGCCCCCAGGACGCAAACGAACCCCATTCACTGTGACTGTCGGACTCCCTCGCGCCGCTGGTTTGGCCGACCTCCCTCCGCAGTACTCGTAAGGAGTACGCCCGCGCCTTGAGGCACCTCGCTCCGCGCACCTAATACACCACAACAACACCGCCCGCCATGAAGTTCTCCCTCTCCAAGTCGCTGCTATGGCTCGCAGCCATCGCGGCGCCCGTCGTCTCGGGCGAGCGCATCATCGAATCCAAGTCGCTCAACCCGTGCATGTCCAACTCCAGCTTCTCCGCCACCCTCTTCAACGTCGCATTCACCCCCAGCAACCGCAGTCTGGGCTTCAAGATCGAGGGTATCTCCAACATTGCCGGCAAGATTGAGGCCGACATCGAACTGCTCGTCTACGGATACTCCGCCATGAACGAGAAGCTCGACCCCTGCGGTCAGAAGGAGCTCGAGGGCATGTGCCCAATGAACGCCGGACCGCTGACTATCAAATCCAACATCGACATTAGCCAGGACATCATGAGCGTCATCCCAGGTAAGAAACGTCCAAAGTTGCTGCCCAACCCCCCTAACACCACACAGGCATCGCATACACAATCCCCGATCTCGACGCAGTCGTACGAGTCAAGATCAGGTCTGCAGAGACCCATCAACAACTCGCGTGTGTAGAAGCAGAGCTGTCAAACGGACATTCGGTCGACCAGAAGGCTGTTGCATGGGTGACGGCTGTCATAGCGGGTCTGGGTCTCATGGCATCCGCTATAACGTCTGGACTGGGTCATTCCAACACCGCCGCGCACGTTGCCGCCAACGCCATGTCGCTATTCGGTTACTTCCAAGCGCAGGCCTTCATCGGTCTCTGCGCCGTCCCTCTCCCACCCATCGTGTCCGCCTGGACCCAGAACTTCCAATGGACCATGGGTCTCATCCGTGTTCAATTCCTTCAGGATATGGCAACATGGTACCAGCGTGCTACTGGCGGAAGCCCGACCACCTACCTGTCCCAGCTGTCGTACATCTCCATTGAGGTCCAGAAGTCGAGGAAGATGAGGCGTGCGCTGGACTTCACCACCGGAGCTGTCGGTCGTCTCATGGCCCGTAGTAACGCTGCCGCCACCGAGGCACAGGCTGGAGGAGACCGCTTGGTTCTCCACGGCATCGAGCGTGTTGGTTTCAAGGCCAAGATCGAAACGACCAACATCTTCTTCACTGGATACACCTTCTTCGTCATCTTTGTCCTCTTTACCGTCATCGGTGTCGTGGCTTTCAAGTACATCTGCGAGGGTCTAGTCAAGGCCGGCAAGATGAAGGGCGACAAGTTCGTCGACTTCCGCAACGGCTGGCAGACTGTGCTCAAGGGTATTCTCTTCCGTGTCGTCCTCATTGGCTTCCCGCAGATGATGATGCTGAGCTTCTGGGAGTTAACTAAGCGTGACTCTGCTGGTCTGGTCGTTCTGGCTATCCTTTCTATGCTCACCATGATTGGTATCCTCGCATGGGCTTCTTCCAAGGTGGTCCGAATCGCCCAGCGCTCCATCGCCATGCACAAGAACCCTGCATACATCCTCTACTCGGACCCTGTCGCGCTCAACAAGTGGGGCTTCCTCTACGTTCAGTTCAAGGCGGCCGCCTACTGGTTCATCATCCCATGGCTCGGATACCTCCTTATCAAGGCCATGTTTGTCGGTCTTGCGCAAGGTGCATTCAAGGTTCAGGCCATCGCCATCGTTCTCATCGAGGCTGCTCTGCTTGTCGGTGTATGCGTCCTTCGTCCCTGGATGGACAAGAAGACCAATGGTTTCAACATTGCCATTGCTGCTGTCAACTTCCTCAGCGCCTTCTTCCTGTTGATGTTCACCGAGATTTTCAACCAGCCTGTAAGTAGCCCTCACTCCCACCACGATTCCCAACTAACGTTCGTAGGCTATCGTCACTGGTGTCATGGGTGTCATCTTCTTCATCATTAATGCCGCCTTCGCCCTGATCCTCCTTC